AAGATGACCCTAACCCTAAAGTTAATTCAATAAAATATATATTATAAGAATCTGCTCCGCTTTAGACGTCCCCCAAAATAGGAAATCAAAACAAAAATTTGATTGGTTTAAATTCAAGATAATCACAAAATTGATGTGCAATTCGCAAATATCACATTAATGAAAATGCATTCAATCCGCCCATATGGAGTCGAAATAAGTCGGTCTCTATGTTGACTTTCTTTATAATATACTAAATTTTTCTTATAACCAGCTTATAATACTAATTCTATTATATTATTTATCAAATTTACTAATTATATAAAAAAATTTTAATAGTAAAATTATTTATTAGTAATATATAGTCCTTAGGACTTTTAATTGTTTCCATTATACTAGTATATATAATGATTAAAAGTTTTGTTCAATAAAATACTGGTATGACCGCTTAAGGGGAAAAAACTAAAACAAATTAAAATCTTGAACAAATTTATTATTAATTAATATTTTGACTGACACAAATAATTTATCATAAAGCTAAAAAAACAAAAACATAATTAATTATATGAATCATAACAAAAATAAAGATTTGAAACAACTGCATATGATATTAACTATAAACTTTTTTGAATAGTTATAAAAGATTTGGAAACCTTAAAGACATATTACTATATTGATAAACAATATATTTATATAAGAATCATAATATTTATAATTGTGATTAATACTAATTTTTACCAATCCACTTAGTTAAAACTTTTTCAAGTTCATCAGTTTTCAGTGGTTTCGCGAGATAATCATTTATTCCTGACTCGATATATCCGTTTTGTATTTCTTTCACGGATAAAGAAGTTAGGACAATAATCGGTATATTTGAAATTGGTGGTCTCATTGCTCTAATTGCTCGTGAAACATCAAACCCTGACATTATTGCCTAAGTATAATAATTAATAAATTGCGAATGGTTTATTATAATAGTATAATTAACAAATAAAACTCACCAAACTACATTCAGTTAATATTAACGATATTCTGCAAGATTTCATTTGATTTATTTCTGAATTTGATGAATTCGAGTACGAATGTCTTAATAATTTAACATCAGAATCAATCAATCTGACCGCTTCTTGGCCATTTGCCGCAGAGATAGTTGAATAACCAAGATTCGAAATTTGTTGCAATGTGTTCTAAAATAAAATAAATTAAAGAATTTATAAATATTACGAGCCTACATTATTAAACATTAATTACCTCTAAACTTATAGAATCATTATCCTACAAATATTGGTAAACAATTGATTAAAGCGTATCATATTAAACAAGCATGCATTATTTGGCCAGAATAAATGCATACCACACATAAAACACATTTTCTCCCGAAATCTCTTTCAGTTACTTCCTCATATATATCTTGGTTCGCATCTCCAATCTTATAAAGTTCATAATCTGCTACTCGCTTTAGAATATTTGTATTTTTATCAGTTGCAATGTTTTTTTCCAGGTGAATGATTTGATTAATTAACTTTTTTAATGTAATTGGAGTATAAATAACAGAGGTGATTCTCCCAAGCTTTCTAATTAATTTTCTTGCCAACCCATTTCCTTCATTACTCGGAAATACTATAAAAATTATAACTAATCTATTACTATCCATATCTAATGCCTTTAACTTTAATGATGCTTTCATGACTTCTTCTTCATTATCTTCATAAAGGCCGATGAATGCTATATCATAAGCAGATTGATTATGCAATTCCTTATATGTTTTGGCAGCTTTAATACCTTCGTCAAAGGTACTGAATGCATCAACTTTTTCAACAATTTTAAAATATGTCAACATTGCATTTCTCATATTTTTAACTGGGTGAATTATTAGTATTCGTTTTTTTCTTATAAAATTAGGTAATGTGTAGTTTATTTGCTTATCAAATTGTGCCTCGAATGATGAGGAAGTTGGAAGTTTTGAAATAGTTGGTGTAATCGGGAATAATAATTCTATATTCCATGTAAACCAAAATGTACTTCCTTCTCCCAACTGGCTTTCTGCTTTAATTTTTCCTCCATTA